CTCTCGATAATTCTTAGCTCCGAACTTAACTATGAACCATCTCCCTCGTGTTAATCAATCGTCCATTAATATGTGATAATGTGTATCGTGTATTTCTAACGCTGTACTGTTTTGTTGTGTATTTCAGTGAGCAGACTCCATTGCGAGTCGGAGTCATTCAAAATGGATCTTATCTTGGACATCAACAGTTGGTTATACCCAATGGACCTGGGTGAGTCTTTTATGATTGTAAAATTTATTATTTATTATATGTATAAATTATAATTGATTTTATTTGTATTTGTAGATATATTTTTAAGCACTTTTTATTATATTATGTAGATATTTTTACTTTCTCATAGAGGAAGCTTTGTTTTCGTAAAAAAAAATTTTTTTTTAGTTGCTTTTGCCAATGTGTTCAGAATGTTCTAAAACGTCGAAAAATGGCTATTTTAAAAAATGTCGGTATGTGTGTATGTGTGTATGTATGTGCCAAATTTACCGAAATTTCTATAACTCCAGAACTAATCAACCAAATCTTAACGAATTATATATGAAATAGGGGTAGAAAAAACTGAAGAATATATAGAATTAATAAAAATTGCTAATAATCAAGGGGTTCTTTTTTAATAAAATTTTGAATTTTTGCAGAAATGTTTTTTTATGCTTTAATTTTCGCAAATTTGGAGATATCGATCTATTTCTAATTTTATTATATTTTTCAGTTTTTCCTACCCCTATTTCATATATAATTCTTTAAGATTTGGTTGATTAGACTCAGCTTTATACGTGATCAAAGGTCCTTAATTTTTTTAAAAATGTCCGTAGTTGCTCTAACTTCCGCAAATATTGAGATATCGGGCTGTTTTTTTTTTTTTTTTAATCAATAGAGCATCATTCAAGGAAGGTCGGTATTGAATTTGGCGATGATCGGTAAAGGGGTTTTTTGCAAGTAGAAACCTTTGCTCACAAAGCTTCCTCTATGAGGAAGCCAAAACAAATAGAGGAAGCTTTGTGAGCAAAGGTTTCTACTTGCACACTTAAAAACTATGAGGAAGCAATGTGCAGGTTTCTACTTGCACACTTTACTTGTTTATATATAATATAACATGAAAACGAGTTTTAATGCAATAGAAAAGTTAAATCAATTAAATATTTTTCAAGGAATTCTATTTATTTCGGACATTTTTATTTTGATCTTATCTGCAAGAAGCAACTTAAAGGGGGCTACAATTTTAATTCATAAGTATAGACTAGAGATTTTTCAAATCTCGTTTTTGCATTACGACGCGCGACGACGATATTTGTAATGTGACAAATGAAAGTGATACGATAGCATGTTTTCTCTCAATTCACCCCTGTGCTAATCGTGCTACGTGCATAGAAATGGTTCACCCCCTAACGTCTTTTTTCCAAACCCTTCATCTTTTCGCGATCGTTCGTCCGGTTATATCGAAGATACGATGACGTGCGATTTATCGTTGAGCCTGGCCATCTTGCTTCAGCGAGAGCACGTTGCGTCTCGCCGAAGAGTTGCGCGATCGTGGCGATTAATGCTTCCTCGTCTCTGAACTTGACCAATGGAAACTCGAGCTGACCGAGTCCGACTTCGAGGCTCGTCTTGGCTCCGCCTCTGGATTACCGATGCGGCTGCGGCGATTGGTGAAGTTTGTCTGAACTGAAGTTTGTCCAAACCGAAGAGCTAAAATGCCTTCTTTATTTCGATGCAATCTCTACTGTCAGGTCTGTCGGGTCGCTATTGCGAAAGTGTTTCATCCCTTGAAAGTATTTCAACTCCAAAGTGAAATTACGTTGAAGTTGTTTCCCATAATTTTTTTAGCGCACACGCGCCCACATGCATCAATAAACGTATGTGATATGTATGTCGCAGATTACATTACTTGTCATTACATGTCGTTGCAAAGTAATTGTACAGATATATATTTTAAACAAGTTTTAAGTATGTTGAAAATTAATCTCTCTCTCTTTCTCTCTCTCATCTATCATATGACGAAATATACAAATACAAATATACAAATATACAAATATTTTACGTTCGGTAAAATGTAGCAGGGGGAAACTGATGAATTACAATAGAGAGAGAATACCAAAAGAATAATTTGTTGTATCTAAAATCTGTTACGTTGGCGTTACATATTCTTAAATTGGATTGTTTACACGTTAGTCCTAAATCGCAACGTGCGTATAGTTACAGAATACATTCTATAGATATACATGGATGGATAAGGAGATGGGGATAGCTATATATGTTGTATTTGAATATACAATACGTATGTATGTACATATACGCGCGGGAAGGTTAGTCCATAAGGGCTAGGCAGAGGCAGGCAGAGGTAGAGGTAGAGGTAGAGGTAGAGGCAGAGGCAGAAGCAGAGGCAGAGGCAGAGGCAGAGGTAGAAGCAGAGTCTCGCGTCTCGCCGCTGTATTGACGCGCGGCGTTCAGGCTTGCGCGAGATGACGCAATCTCCCTCCCACTATATAATATCGTCCGTTCTCCGTTGCCCCCGTCGCGTCGACCCCTTCTGCTCCTTCTGCCCCTTCTCACCCTTCTCACCTCGGGCGGCTCGGACCACTCATTCCGCGACTCAGCTGCGCTCCCCACTCCGGACTCTCCGGAGTCGGAGATCCCTTCCGCAGGCGCAGGTCTTCCGCCGCGCGTCGCGCGGCGCGCGCCGCACGCCTCGTCCCGCGTCCGGCGCCCACAAGTTCAATGCCAAGGTCAAAGCGGCCACGACTCGCAACCGTGTCGGTCGTAAGTGCGCGCGCGATACTCGTTCGTTTTCGAGGAGGAGAGGCGACGAGAGGCGACTCGCTCGCTGTTCCGTGTGCGTGTCCGGTGTCCCTCTTTCCGCGTACGCGCTCCTCGTCTCTTCCTCAACTCAACGACAGCGAGAGTAAAACGCGTCGCGTTCCGCTTTCCGTTTTCCTTTCCTTTCCTCTCGCCGCGCCGCGCCGTCCCGGCGTCGCCGTCGCCTCCCCATCGATGCGATGTGGCGGAGTGACGGATGCCTATGTGTTCGTTTCGCGACCCGGGTTTCCCTTCAAGTGCGCGCTCCGAGTCGACGTCCAAGCGGTCGTCGACGAGTTTCGCAGGTGCGGAAGGACTACGCTCGAATGTGCGTGACGTCCGTCTCGACGACGAGTGAGCAGACATTTTGAATACGCGACGTCGTCGCATCGGAGTGTCGTTTGACGGCGACGCGGATAAAGCGCCATGTCGTCTAAATGCCACAATTTTGACGTATCTTTGTTTTCGTCTCTTTCGAGTACTCGAAGAATAACATCGACGTTGCTCGGGAGCAGCGTCGGGACGAGAGAGACGCGTAGGCGTCGGCGTCGACGTCGACGTCGACATCGACGAGGAGGGACAACTCGGACAACGTAAAGTCGGAGTGCGCGGCATATGTGTAGTGCGCGCTGGCAGCGACGCTCGAAAGCGTCGATTTGTGATCTCGTGAATCTCCGCTGCTCCGCTCTCGGGCGGGAAGGTTGGCAAGGTCGCACGGATGGATCATGGATCCGTCGTGCGGAAAAAGGAGCGGGATACGGGATATCCGCGCGGAGGCAGTAGCCTGCTCTGCCCACTACCCGCTACGCCGCGCCGTCCTCCCCCTGATACCCGAGATCCGAGATCCGAGATTCGCGTCACGGGCCAAGATGGCGGCGGATTTCGGACAGGATCCGGACGGACGCTGCGCCGCGTCGCGTCGCGCCGTGCCGCGTCGCGTCGAGCCGCGTCGAGTCGCGCCGAGGTAAGCCGCATCGTTGTGTTAGATCCCGTCCCTTCAATGCGCATATATGTATATCGCCGCCGAGAGAGAGAGAGAGAGAGAGAGAGAGAGACCGCGCGCTGTCACGCGTTATCGATTTCGTGGGAGGCTCTCCTCCCTACGCGGCTCTCTCAAGGTCACCGTCGTGAACCGCGCGAGCGCGATTCCTCGACGCTCGGCGCTCATCCTCTCTTTCCGGTTCCGCATGAACCGATCCTTAATTAGTCGAATTAGTCATTCGAATACTCGAACGTAATCGATATTGCGTATCGTCGCGTAAAACGGCTAATAACTCCAGCAAATTCTCTCTCTCTCTCTCTCTCTCTCTCTCTCTCTCTCTCTCTCTCTTCACCTTACAATCGGTATCTTCGTTTAGATTTCTATTTTAGAACCTATCTAATTATCTAGAGGAGCAAAAGTATCGTTTCTAGATTTTTTTTTTCGTTTAGCTTGTTTAGCTCGTAAAATTACGGCTTGAAATAATCAGCGACTACTCGTCGCGCGTCTCGAGTTATCGGAAAAGTTTTACAGCGGAGAGACGAACCGATAGCGTTTCGGTTGAATGAGGGTTAATTTAAGCGCGCGAGAGAGATATTACCGCTCGCAACGCTCGACCGGATGATCTATAGTAGCCGCCGCTGTTACGGTGTGGCACTGATATGATGTAAGCTCGACTCACGTACATACCTAGTATCCACTCTTCGTGGAGAGCGGTGAGATCAATTGGCTGGTTTTCCCGGACTCATTCTCGCTGATAACCACAGTGACAAAATTAACCTTTTATCTGTTACGTACAGAAAAATGCTTCTGTGATATATGTATTATCGACGAATTAAAACAAAAATCTGCATTGCGATCGCGATACGTTCTGTCCCGATTTATTATTTCCACGTTGTTCAAGGTTAAACAAGTACGACGGCAAAGTGTAAATGTAAGGTATAAAAGATGAATAGAAATGAAGCATATTAACGATAAGCGAATAACGATGGATTATACATGAGAAGTTTTGGCTGATAGTCGTCTAAAATTTTGCTCGTTTTTATTACAAATATCTAAGCTTAATAGTTGCCGAACGAAGAAGAAGACGGCTCGACGGCGGCCGCGGCAGCGCGGCGACGGCGACGGCGACGGTGACGATGTAGTATCGATTAAAACTCGCGCGCCGATTGTATATACCTTGTGTGCCGTTGTGTGTGCTTAACCTTGACCTTGCGGCCCGGGCTTTCTTACGTATCGCTTCAGCCCAGGGCTTCGTATGGAAACGGGCAACTTTTTCGTACTAACCAAGTACGCACAAGACCTCGTGTATTTACTTTGAAGTTGTAATGTAATTTGCGTTGCGACGATAATCCTCTTTGGGATCTTCCTCTGTTCAAGCCGCACCTGTGTATTTGATTGAAATAACGATTTTAATTCGAAATTCATAGATTGATTTCATAATTTGACATCGTACAGCTAGTTATTTTATTCGTCAAGTTTTATCAAGTTAACCGAGATTCGGTTTATATTGAAACGTAAATTTTTGCTTACAAGTTCGTAGATGTACATTTATGTTATGCGCATTAATATGTAAAATGTTTTTAAGCACATTTATTTTGAGCGTGGCTTCTTCAATTTTCTTTTTCTTTGCCTGTTCCAATTTCGCTCTAGCACTACGTACATAAGTATATGATGACCCTCTTTTAGCAGCTTCTTCTATTTCTCTTCCCTGTCTTTTTTTATCCATTTCCTTCCTACATTCTTTCAACATTCTTATATTTCGCTTCTTTCTCTTTGTCGATATCGATCTTAATCGCAATTCCACAAGCGGTTAATTTGCATGATTAATTTAGTTTCACGTGAGTCTAAAATAAATATTACTTTGACATTAAAAGCATCTGATGCGATAGTAAGGTATCTGAAAATATATCGCGATACACAATTTCATTGAAGTCGAGAAATCTAAATACTGTTAAATTAATTTAATTTAACGATAGTGACTTGATTTAAACTATCAATCTTGTTTTCTTTTTAACACTTACGATTTGCGATATTTTGTTGAACATGCGAGTAAAGTTTCATAATTTGATTCTTAAAATTAATCGATTTAATTGTTGATTATATTTTCACAGTACAAGTTTCAATCATATTAATATAAAATAATAAAATGTTATTTTTAACACCATCGATTCCACCTCGATGCCGACGATGCCAGACGCGAGAGCAAGTATATGGTATATGGTAATTTGTATTCAATTATTTGGTGCACGTAGATTTAATGAGCGTGGGGATGACGATAAATTGACGAATAATCCAAGTTTTTATTAATTTCGCACATTCGCACATTTTGCGTTTAGTTTTCTCTGTAAACTGCATCTACCGACTCGTTCAACCAAGTACACTTTAAGGTACAGGTACCAATACCCGGACATGTACCTATATCCGGACACCTTTATTATTTATAAGTATAACGCGTATTAAAATCAAAGATAAAAGTATTTTTTCTTGTAGTTTGAAACTTAAGTTATAATATCCAAACGTTTATTTTCATAAATTTATGTTTTTTTAAAGGTATCCAGACACAGATACGTGTCCAGGTATTGGTACATTTCCTATGCTTAAGTGTCCGGGTATTGGTACCTTTACCTTACGTAGCAAGATGAAAAGTGCATCTCACGAGTGCCGCGTACCCATCGGAATATCGTATGCATGTGAAACGGGTAAAATGGATAAAAAGGGTGGATCCGTCAGTTTACACAATCTAGCAGCACCCGCCAACCAGCGGATGCAACGTGACTGATGCAATCGGGTGGCGATGTGTTTTCGATGCATTCGCGTGAACGCTATTATTGGACCCGTTTATATTCCGTCAGTGCATGGCTTATTCGCGCTTTTTTGCATCCGAGAAACATCGTGATCATCCTGCGTCTAAACGTGGTGGACATCCGGTGAATTATAACGCAAATAAAATATGCCATTATCTAGTTATTGCAGTAACGAATCAGTATATTTTTTCCAACAAGGTTTTCGTGTATTTAATTTTTTTGATTGTATAAAAGGTTTTGTTTTTTTTTCCTTTACATGATGCGCTCAAGAAACAGAAATTCACTTCTATTTACACATTTGTGTCATTGCGGTGATGGATAAAGTATTACGTATTTTTTTAATTAATTAAGTTTATGCTAATAAATATCTATTAGCAAATTTTATATTATATATGAATATATGTAACTTTTTCAAATATGTAAAACTTATACAAGCTAAAAAAAAATTTTTAATAAAAATTATGTATATAACAATAAGATATTTTTCTCTCTAGCAATGTGCGGAACAAAGATTATTTAACGAGCGTACGGGAGCGTAAACTTAGTACGGGATAAATCTCTCTCTCTGTAACGTGTGTAACAAAATATCGTATTGTGTGTTCAGGAGATAAATTCCGTCTTGTGCTGGCGACGACGTTACGCGAGGACGGATATCCAGACGGTAACGAGTGGAACCCTATGGAACAGGAGGGCGGTTCCAGGGCAGACAGCTTTGAGTACGTCATGTCCGGCAAGGTGTATCGAATTGAAGGTGACGAAGCCAACAACGAGCCCAGCAGCAGACTGTAAGTAGCCGTTCTGTCGTATCAGGCGTGTAAGATCGGTCTGAGAGAAATTAGTTTTTTATCTCTTGGAAAAATTTAATTTATTATTTAGTGAGACTAATTGGTAACATTAAGAAATAGTTATATAATAAAATAATAAATATAATAACGAATTATTAACCATTTATATTTTGTTAGATTTTGATTAAGACAAGAAAATTAAAAAATCAAGGGACAAATCTCTCAGACTGATCTTACTAGTGAAATATATAATCTAACAGTTAAGATTTGTTTGCACTTAATGATTTTCGATATTGCGATTACGATTTTAGCTTGTGATCTTGTATCGTTGTTTATAAAACGTACGATATGCAACGATAGTTAAATGAGAATAGATAAGCGAAACAACTTGTTATAGCATCATGTATTTGATAGAGTAGTGTGATATAATCTGTAAATTACATAGGTTTATCGAAAATTGTTATGTATCGCTTAATTTTTAAACATAATTTTTTACGGATACGTCTTAGACAACGTAACATAATTATTAATCCTCTCTTATTAGATTATCAACTTTGGAGTAATTTTTTATTTGTACACATTTAAAGATAAAAATAGATTTATACAAATTTTCATTATTTATAAAAATGTTTAAAAATCTTGTAGTGCAAACGAATCTACACTTGTTATTTTTTACAATATCCGAGCAGAATTTCACACGAAGTCTCATTACATGAAATGCTCTTGTATCGTTCCTTAATCAAAAACGTTCTCAAACGAATTTTTGTAAGGAGCAACATTGTCGATTACTTATAGCAAATTCTGCGTTAATTTGATTCTGCTCGGATACATTTATACGCTGGCCCGGTATATCGGGTATACACACAGATGCAACGTCACGATGCGTGACGTTGTTCAAACGACACATCGATGTGCGGCAAACTTTCTGCTGTGCGATCTCCTATTGGCTCGTTTCCAAACGCTCTCAATGAAGCCGCGTGAGCTTCCGAAAACAACTTTCTACGCCGCTTGTAGAGAAATTGGCTCTCTGTTGTCGCTCGGTTATCGCTCTAAACAAGATCTCTCGACCGGATCGAGAAGCGGCACATACCAATGTCGTTTATGCGATGAGCATATGTATTGATGTATTATGTAATTAATGGATTATGGAAAAGTAAAAGAATATTAAGCAACGCGAATTGTGTTGCAGACAATTTTTTTGGTTAAGGGTATGAACGAGATTATGCTGCAAATAAATTAGCCCAACAAATGCGGTATGCATTTGATTCTTAATTTTTTTTCAAATGAATACTACGGCGAATAAGTTTTTGTATGACGCTAGGCACAAGGAAATATTATGGACAACGTGGTAGTAAAGTTAAGGTTGTTGTGTGTGAATTACGTGATACGCAATTGCCCAAACCTTGGCACGATTGGCTGAACACGCCGAAATAGTGCGTCATCGGATGGGCCATTTTTAGCTTCGTCATTCATGAACTATGGACTCACTATTTTTTCAAACGCAGTTTGTTAACTATTTCTATAATTCCTATTGTCAAAAAATAAGTGCGACAAGTAAACCTAAATTCACAATTATAATAATTATAGTAATCATAAATTTTATAAGTGGATATAAAATATTAAGTTATCAGACGTCATAAGAAAGTTATATTTATATTAGAAATAATACTTATGAATTCTTATATTTGTGTCGAGAATAAAAGAAAAAGTTTTATTAATTTGCTGAACAAGCATGTCAAGTATTATAGAGAATATTTAAAAAATTGAGGAAGTTCCGCAGTTTTAAATTGCTTTCCGATCGGACGGAAAACCGGAGGTTACGCGCGAGCGTTGGGCTTTCCATTTAAACGTGCTGAACGAAATGCGGAATTGCGCGATAACCCCGCGGTTTAACAGACTTATCGCATTGACCTTGGAACGTGGCCGCGACGTCGGTCGTATCGGTCGTGTCGGTCGCGTCGATCGCGTCGATCGCGTCGCCGATGATTTCGTCGCAGGTTGTGCCACCACTGCGCGCAAAACGTGCCACGCTCTGCTAACGCTATTAAAGATAGAACGCAACGTTGTAGACGCCACGATAAGAAGAGAGAGAGGGGGGGGGGGAGGGATGTGAGAGAGAGAGAGAAAGAGAGAGAGAGAAAGATAATGATGTGTGCTTTAAACATTCGAATCTGCTAGGTGCTTTAAATCGACTGTGCAAGTGTAGAGTGCGGAGTGCGGAGCAGTTTATCGAATGCGACATCATTTCGTAACGCTTCTTTGTGATGATGCTCACATTAATATGCTCAGATTAACGTTTAATGTTTTAATTAGCTTGTTCTCCCATGCGCGGTCAATCTTCGTTTCAGTTGAAATGTTATCTGTTATCTTAGTTATATGTAATGTAATTTAGGATGTTAACAAAATTTTGATGTCGATTGTATATTGTATCGGTCGGTAAGAGAGTTCACGTACGAGAGAGATCAGCGGAACGAGCTTTCGGAGGACAGGGAGCCACTCTGCGTTCACTCGGTAGGTAATGAAGCGGGTGAACACAGCTGGTGGTATCTCAGTTTTCTGGGGGCATTGGCAACCCGGCTGGCAAAAGCCGAAAAGTCGAGATTAACCGTCCGTCCGCGTCGAGAAAAACTGCCAAAAGCGGCAAGCGATAGATGGACAGACTTGGATCGAAAGTAGTCTCGGAAGTAATCGAAAAATTCTTTTACGATCGGTTACTTTCCCCCCATTTTCTTATAGAAAAGATCTCGAGCGAAACGATGTTTATACGACCTGACGTACGTATCGTAGATACGATATCGCCTCCCACCTTTAGGTACAGTTTAAGATTCATTCTACGTTGTCTGTACTTGGCGCCAGATTTTCAGGATAGAATTTTACTTATAATTTCATGTGTTATGTATTTTATACGTATTCTGATTTTTCAAAATATCTTTTGTGTACATCTACACAAATTGTTATTATTACACGGCAAATGAAATTAAAATAAAAAGTTCAATCCTGAATCTAATACGAATCATAGATAATTGAAAGTTGACTTTAGATGTTTGTCATCTGATTGGAGATGGGTACAAGAATCTTGGTCCTTTTTCAAGAGATGGCGCTTTTAGTGATTTGAAATTGCAGATATGTTTATACATACTATATTAAATAGCATTGGAAAAAGGTAATGATATTAGCTGTCCTGTAATGTAGATAGATTTACTTCCATTGTGACAAATTGAATGAGAATCAGCGCCGAAGGTAAACATCTTCTATCATTCTTTATGAGTCTTAGAGAGACTCGAACATTTTGTAACTACCGTGGAAAAATTTTGACGTAACTATTTCGACTTGGACGAGATCAAATAATATAGGGAGCTTTCCAGCAAGCGACACAAGTCGACACAAGCATTGTTCTATCTTTCTTTTTTGGTAATGAGTAACATAGATAAAATGATAATTGTGTCGACTTGTGTCGCTTGCTGGAAAGCTCCCATAGTGTCGTACTATAATTGGAGTATTAATTGTTGTTAGTACTGAATTCGTTCGTTCGTCTCTGCGAGGGGCGTGACAGCTGGGAAACGAATTATTGATCGAGGTAGCTCGAGACCCCGGAATGAATATAGCTAATGCCCCGGCAACGTCGGCCACGCGCAGGTACACCCTGTCGTCGCGACGCGATCCACTCGGAAAGAAATTTGAAACTCAAAATTATAGTTATTTAATTGTTATATTTATATTGTCTTTTTTTAGGTCGTGATATGGTACTTTCAATATTATATCATTATTACGGATTATCGGTATTTCTTGTATTAGCGTTCTCGTTAATAATATAATTCTCGAAATGTGATTAAGTCCAACACAGATAAGCAGTACTACAAACAAGTTTCATCAATTTTACAAATACTCTCGTTTTTTTTTTTATCGAGATTGAAATGCGAATTCTTCTTGTCTTCATCTTGTCGTTATTCGATGCTAATTGTAAGTGGAATTGTAAATGAAAGTAATGAGTCTGGGCAGGAGAACCTGTAGCGCAAATTTCTTCGATCTCATCGAGGATGCGAGAGCTTTATGAGAGTCAGCTGATCAGGATTAGTGCAGGCGCGTGCGCATGGTGCAGCGCTTCCCGATTGGTCGATACCTCGGCTAGGACGTGCAAGGTCGTCCGGGCTATCAAAATCAGCTGACGTCGGAACGACCAATCAGCTGACGACTGAGTTTAAGAGAATTCCCCACCGTCAGAGGTTTTAGTTCTATGTTGCCCGATTTTTCGATATTCATTTGAGTGTAAACTTAGTTTCTAGTTTGTTAATCGAACAAGGAGACATTCTCGGATCATGCCAGTTTACGATGCGCGTAATTGACTGTTTGGAGTGCGATTTGAAATTTTTTTATAAGTACATCATAAATAACAAGCTTGAGATACAACGTTAAATATTTTTAATATGAGGAATTTGTGAGATTTATTTTTCTTAACAAAATTCTATCTACTCTACATATATTTAAAATTTTTTTCTGAAGACTATTGTCTTTTTTATATATTATATGTATATCTTATATTGTTTTATATCCTTCTTATTGAAGCGTGTTATCTTTTATATAGACAGAGAGAGAGAGAGAGAGAGAGAGAGAGAGGGGGGGGTGAAATTTAATTAATCTTAACTTATCTTTCGGTATAATTAATTTCAACTGCAGTCTTAATTTATGTATTAACTTTGTATTAAAATGCAAAATTCGGCTCTTCGATGCGTCATTGCGTTCAAGTATCATGTGTCCGTAGGCGGTAAAATTGCACTGGCTATAAATTATGTGTTCATATGCGCAACATGTCTCGTGGCTTTTCTTCCTTGTGAGTCACGTCGTCCGCCGTTCCACGGTCACATGTACCTCCTAATATCGCGGGGAACAGGCCAGGACCGTGTCGGAAAGCGGCGTACGTATACGCAGCCGACTCGATGGAAAATTTAACCGCCACGTCATCCGACATTACGCCGCGCCGTAGCGAGAAAACTCGGGCGGAC